CAGACAAGCTATCCCTAATACACATTTTTTTGTCTAAGCCCTCTGCTCAAGCACGGCTGCTTTGGGAAGGTCCCTTGCTGGAAGAAATTTGGAGAAGTTGTGCACAAGGATTTTTAGATATTAAGGAGCAATAAGATTCATGTCTATTAAAATACATGAATTCATGACTGCAACCCTAGGTTTACATGACTAGTTATTTAAAAATACTGTACAGTCAGGAGCTGCTTCAATTTCCAAAGGCACAGCAGCCACTCCAAGGCATCAATTACTTTTTCTTTCAAAGATGAAAACACCCCCACAGCCATCTCATGTTTCCAGGTCAGTACCTGGGCCTGAGCAGGGCTGTCACCATGGTGCTGCCTGGGACACGAGGCAGAGTGTGACACTGTGACACGGGTAATTGCCAGCAGTTTGCCTTTCTTGTCCCTCATCACCCCAGCACAAAGCACAAACCACAATGGGTGTCAGAAATTGACTTTCAAGGTTTTATTTAGCATGCCTGAAAGGATTTGAGGATGGTCAGTGTAAAAGGCCTGTAAGAATTGTTTCTGAGATGTCAGGATCCCTTTGAACCAGTGGGGAAGAGGAAGAGTCTGATCTTCCCTAATTGCTGTGTAATCCCATCCTCAGCCTGGGAGGCACAGGTAAATAATCAGGTTCCCAGCCTGGCAGCTACTCGGGATTTGGTGTCTTCATTCAAAGGGGATTGCAGGTAACTGAATAAATAATGGTACTGCCACGCAAGCCGCTCTCTTGGCAACCACAATTCAAGCAGGGGAAAATATTCTGAGAAAAGGGTGGGCTGGGAAGGGAAGGAATTGCTTGAGCACACAGCGTTAGGCTCTCCCAGGAAAGACAGAAATGTGGAAGGTGTTTCTTCCCTGTAACATTTGGGCATCCCTGAATCAGTCTCACAGGATGCTGGCCTAGGTATCCCACAGCACAGGTTGTCAGGGGGCCCAGGTGGATGCTACATCCCTGTTTCCTGGAAGGATTGCTCAGCACAGGCATCAGGAAACACCACGAGGATTTTCATCCTCATCACTGATGCACTTGGATCAGGTGTGGTGAGCAGGGAAATCTCATCTTCCATGAAATCACTTGTCTGGGTGACGGGGGGAATTCTCCATCCCCAGCCCCGTGCAGACACCTGAACACCTTGCAGGGAGCAGGAGAGGCTCAGGGAGGCTCTGCTCAGCCAGATGTGTCTCTGCCTGGCTCATTCCTGTCCCCATTCCCCCTGGCAAGTCACGCTGCCCTGTCTGCAGGGATGTAATTATTCACTATGGAGACTGCTGCAGCCCCCCCAGCCGTGCTCAGGGCTCAGCTGAGCACTCAGCAACAGGTGCTGGGCAGCTTTTTGTGAGGAGCTTTTCTCCACATGGGGTGTCTGAAGGCAAAGGGAGGTTCTTCCCTCCCTGCTAACAGTGAGTGTGCAGGTGGAACTTGGACTTTTGAAGGGTCTCCCCTCCTTCATGCTAATGAAGGGTTTTAACCTCATGGAAAATCCTGCACTGTGTGTGAAGCCTTGGCTCAGGGGGTCCATCAAAGGCAGGGAAATCAGTGGGAACCACAGGTCTGCAGTCCTGCAGGTCAGATCCCCACGTCAGGGCTCCCAGCCTGGCCCAGAGGCTCACAGCAGCCCAGACTATGGCCCCAGCACATCCTCCCCTTCCCTGTAGTGAAATGTGGCATTTGAACCCAGGAAAAACCCGGGCTGGGGGTGGGGAAGGCAGCATTTTGCTGACACTAGAGACACAGTAAGTATTTTATGTGCTCTAGTGCCAGCTCCAGGCCGTCTGCCCGCCCAGCTCCTCAGGATGGAGCACAAGCGTCCCTCACGGCTACGGGCAGCATGGTCGGAGATCAGCTGCCACAAACATGTCTTGGAGCTGGGACTGAGGCACCAGGAACGGACTCCATGCCTTGGACATGAGACCTTTCCTGGTGCCTCAGCACTGGCAAACTCTGGGACTGCCTTCAGCTGCAGTTTAGCTCTTTCCCTTGGAGAGCAGACCTGAGTCAGTCGTCTCTTCCACGTGGAAAAGAGAGCACAGCTCTGGGAAAAAGAAAACCCGGGACATCCATGGGGTTTGCCAGGTCAGAGCCCGGGAAAAAAGCCTGCTCTGAAGCACTGGCAGCTCCCTGCTGGACCCACTGCCCCATCCCCATCCTTCAGCACGGCTGTGGGACACGGGATGTGGAGGAGAAGGGGAATGACAGCTGTGGCTAACAACTGCAGGGATTTGTATATCCAACACCCGCGCATTCAGCAGCCCTGGAGGGGCTGGACCTGACAGGCACCCTGGGGAACAGCAGCAATGCTCAAGCGCACCCAGAGGCACCCCAGGACAGCCAGGTGAGCGTTCCCTACCCAGGAGCTGCCAGGGCAAAGCCACCAGTGCTGCTCCATGGGAAACTCCCAGCACAGCTGAAGGTTCACATCCCTACCCAGCCACCAGGAAAGGACAGAGGGGTCACAGCCAGCTGCATCCATGGATGAAATATTGAATAGGAGCATTGCAAGAGGGGCCCCTGGGGTGTGGAGAGACATTGTCCCTGGGGTGTGGAGAGACATTGTCCTTGCAAGGCACCAGGCAATCTGCTCTGCTCCGGGGCTCTGCTGTGACATTCCTGCAGATGTACAGGAAAAGCAGCTGACACAAACCCCGAGTCACTGCCCACCCCCATCTCCCAGTAATTTCTTGATAGAACAGACACACTGAAACACCTGTCCACGGTGCACTTTTGGCTACGAGCTGCACTGAATATCCCCCCAAGGGAAAGCTCTCCTGCTTGCAGAGAGGCATCCAAGCCCTTAGGGACAACACCTGTGTACCTGTGATTTTAAGCAGCTCTGGGCCAGGCTTGGCCCCTCTCCTGACAGCCCTGCCTGGCAGGGAGCCTCCCTGGCAGCTCCCTTTCCATCCTTCAGATGTTGCACCAGCCCTGAAACTGCAGTGGAGCTGCTCCAGCCGAAGTGAACATCACACAGCAAGTGCTGTAGGGATGCTGGCTCAGCAGAGAAACCCCAAACACAGCTGCTGGAAGGGGTGAGGTGTGCTCTCAAAAGCATCATTCCACTTATTTAGGAAGGGGGAAGGTTAGCACAGAACCATTTCCAGTTTAGGGAAATGATGAATTCCCATTTTACCTACACCTGTGCTCTCAGACACTTTGTTTTCCCCAGCCTTTATATTCTGAGGCACTTTCCCTGCACCAACATCCAGGTCTTGTCATCCAGGACTGCACACCCAGACATCCAGCCCAGCTGTCACTTCCAACAGAGCCTTGAGGCTCCAGAAATGTTAAACAGCAGATTCAGACCTCTCAGATTCGCTTGGGAGCGTTTCAGGCCAGGAGAGCTGGTGACCTGTGACAGTTTTGTCACCGCGCGCTGACAGAGCGAGGCCCTGTCCCTGGAAACCGCAGTGACACCCTTGCACAAGCCTGTTGTGTCCTCCTTCTCCCACGCAGGAGAAACTGAGAGAATCTCCTGTCTCTGGGGCCAGGAATGTGAGAGGTTGAGCAGATTTTGCTGTGAAGCTTGAGGCAGACCCATTGCGGATCAGTTCTTTCACCACTAAAATTTCCCTTCGTGCTTAAGCAAAGAAAAACTTGGATTTCTGTTTATGAGCTGTCAGAAAAGGTCATGCCTGGGAGCACCTGTCACAGAGCCCATTCCAGCATCCCTCAGCCTCCTGAAAAATGTCTCAGCCCTCCTGGCCGCTTCCTACCAAAGGGAGCCTGAAATCAGAAATTTTCCAGATTTTATGGGGATTGGCGACCAGGTAGAGGAACCTCCAGTCAGCTCATTGGGATGCACAGGAAACATGGTTCTGAGTCCACACACGGGACTGTCTGGGATTGTCACGGGAGCAGGCAGAGATGGGAGAGAAAAGACTCATTTTATCTAATAGCCATCTGGAAATAAATGGTGACCTTTCTTTGTTCTGGATTCTGTCCTTTCTGCTTGTAAGAGACATGAGGAATTGGGTTTTTTCCCCTTGTACAGGTAGAAGAGTGCTCTTCTTACAAACATTAATAAATATAATAAAATTATCTTAATTTTAAAACAAGCTTAGCTCCTCACCCTTACTCAATAACCACCTTGTTTCTTCTCTCCTGGCATCAGCAGGGAAACAGCAGAGATGCTCCTGCGAAATCCAAACCCACTCTAGGCTCTATCTCTTTGTTTTTCTTATTGCCTGTGCCTCAGTAACACAGAGCATCCTATTTCAGGCTTCCCTGGAGAGCAAACATGGGAGAATTCCATGGTGCTCCAAGGGAGCCATGTAGAGGGAGGATACACCAGGGAAAACTGACCATTTGTGGCCACAGAGGATCAAAAAATCAGGGAAGAGACAGGAAAAATCCAAAGTCCTGCACACAGCAGTAGTGCCCCTGAATTTTCTGCTCATTTCTGGGCAAGCACGGTGTGAGCTTGGGGTGCTACAAGCAGTGAAGTTTTTCAGTATTTAGCAGCCCATTTACAGGAGAAGTACAAAGACCAACACCTTCAGCAACAGCTGCTGCTTTCTGCTCTTTCTCGCTGAATAAATCCAACACCTGTTTTTCCAGGCAGAAGAGCCTGAGCAAAACCACTGTTACCAGTCTGGATCCTGAAGTGCTGCCCAGCGATCAGCCAGTTTGCAAATCCCTCCCGTGAGTGTTTCACAGCTGCTCCATGGACTCCTCTGGGCTCTGCATGTGAGCAGCAGCTCAGAAAGGCCCCACAGAGGTGTTTCCATCTTGCACCAAAGCTCAGAACTGCTCTTTTCACAACATCCAGCCTGAAGTGTAAGGTGTATTTTCAGCTGTCAAGCACATTCATGACAGGTTTGGTGCCAAGACTGAGGCAAACACCAGAAAAAAGATCTCAAGCTTCCACTAGACCAGGTTGTTCCAAGCCCCATCCTACCTGGCCTTGTAGTTTTTGTCCTGAGATTATCTTTGCTGTACACAGTGACCTGGCAAACAAAGTCAGCAGTCTGTGGCAATCTTGTTCAAAAAGTACATGTGTTTAATAATGATACCAAATACAGCTTTTCCCCCCTGGAATTTCCACTATGATATTCAGTTGGTCCCTCCTGTGGTCACTGCAGCTGGACTGTACATAGCTACTGACTATGACGAATAATACATGGTTATGTTTTAGCGGTGTAGTACTCATATATTCTCTATAAATATAATAAAAGATTTAATATTTGTTTTCATTCTGATTCTTACACATATTTCCTGTGCTTCCACGAAAAAAAACCCAAAACAACACAACAAAAACAAATCCCAACCAAAACATGTCTCTTTCCTGCCTCCCCCAACCTTTTATTGGGTTCCAAATAAACCTGAGTTTGTAATTCAAGTCAGCATCTGCCATCTGTTCGGGTATGTGAGTCTGGTGCACACAAAGGAGGGGATTTCAGTGGTCCCTGATTCCAGTGATCCCTGATTTCAGTGGTCCCTGCCCACTGGCTTGCCAGCACAAACGTGTTCTTAGCATGAAGAGAATGAAAATGCTCTGATGTTTATAAATGAAGGAGTTAAAATGGCCCCCTGGGATGCACAGGTGCTCTCTACAAACAATGAAACACTTCTCCATGTGAAAATGGGTAAAATTATTCCAGAGCTGTCTTTTCTCATCAGATTGGGGACTTCCATGTGTATTATTTTACAGGCAGCACAGCTCCCTCAGAGGTGGGAGTCCTCACTCCACTGAAGGGTCCAAGATGCACACGGACTCTCCAGTGCTAAGGGAAGGTCCCACCTGCAGGGATGAGATGGGTGCTCTAGGCATCACTCTGCTGGTTTTGGCAGCACTGAGCAGCCCAGTTATCTGTCAGTATTTGGATAAATGCCCATTTTCTCCTGCAGATTTTGGTGCTGGGCTTGTGCTGTGCTGCAAAGCAGGAACAAAGGCTCAGCTATGGGCTCTGCTGGGAACCTTCTCCCCTGCCTCTGCTGCCCCTCCTGACCCAGGATCCTGCTCATGAAACTGGAAGGAAAACTTCCCAAACAGGGGTAAGGATGGACACCGACGGGGCAATGAAATTGTCTGTAAAAGTCTGGATGAAAACAGGGCCTGGATTCCTACCAGTGGCAAAATCCCAACGGCAAGAAGACGCCACCTCTGCTCCCTGGGTTTTGAAATGACGTTCAGTGGAGGGAGCAGTGTGGGCCAGGGCTGCCCATGGGGGAACCAGGCTGGAACAAGCTTTACTGAGATGCTCTGAGGACACAAACACGTACACAGGGGTGGTACAGACTAGAGAAAAGAGCAGACTTTGTCTTTGGCTAAACCTTCTGATTTATAGGAAATGGTTTGAGGACAGAAACAGAACCAAAAAAATGTTGTCAACCTCTCAGATGTATCATTTACTTAGAAAAGCAAGACTGGTATACAGAACATGGTGTCTTTTAAGAAAGTTAATCTTCACTGCTCGTAACAATACCCACCCAGTTTTTGGTAACCACTACATTACCAATCTTGGAGTATAAAATGGACTTGGTACAGGTTCATGTGTCCTTTATTAGTCTTTTTAATTCACTGCAGTCTGAAAGAAGCCTTCAGGTGTGTCCAATGCTGCCTTGATGTAGCAGGGGCTAATGCAGGTGCTGGCTGATTGTTTAAACACACAGCCTGCTGCAATCTGGATTCCTGTTTGAAGCAGCTGCTTGCAGACCCCTCATATGAAAGGAGCTGGCCTTTAATGCAGTGGATTTCCACGTGATGCCACTTGTTTTTAAATAACCATGTTTCTTGTGACATGATTAAATCACAGTTTTCCTTATGAAAAAAAATGACTGTGTTATTACCTACTTTATGTAATTAACAGTAAAATCTGCCTTGAATTCCAATATTCCCACTTCCTCTGAATCAGACCGCTCGTGTCTTTATTCAAGCTTCTACCACCTCCATCTTCTCGGCAGGGCTTGTCAGCAAGCTCACTTTGGACAGAGTACCTGGGGTTTTCCCCCTTGCCTGCCCCAGGAGCAATGCCTGCAGCAGCACCACGTGCTGTGTGGCACAGGCAGGTGGAGCAGGGACAGTCTCACCACAGATCCTGGCCCGGCATCCGTGGCACCACTGCTTTCCTGGAGGAACCAAACCCTCGGTGCTCGCGGTTCTTCCAACCAACCTCGCTGCCGCGCCAGGTGAGAGCAGTGAAAATACAGATTCACGCAGCTCTTGCAGGATGTTTTACTGTACAGTCAGATGCCAAATGCGAGTATTTCTTAACAGCACAAGCAGAGCCCTTTCCTTTCAACTTTAATATGTAGGACAACGCCTTCCTTGCAAACAAACCTCCGATTTCCTACGCTGCACCACCACAGGGTATCACGCAGTGACAGCAACACGCCTCTGGCTTTCCCTTCTTGATTAAAGGAGAAAAAGAATCTCGGATCCCAGAGAAGAGCAGTGCAAATCCCAGGATGTCAGACTAACACTGGCCACTGACAGCCTCTGTGTTGAAGGAGATCTGTGTGGGGCTCATCTGCTGCAGCTGAGGCATCCTGGCTTCCAGGGGCTTTTCGCTCGCCGACTGCATGGTCTGGTTCCTCTTCCGCAGCATCTGTCCGATCCCCATCATGGGGAACCTGCCCCTGCTTTTCACACAGTTTGGGCTGCCCAGGGGGTTGCTGGGGGCCAGCTGAGTAGGGGACACTGCTTCTTCCTTGGCTGGATACGCCTTCTCCTCATACGTGAAAGAGACCTGGGTGGGGTGGACGGGAGACGTGCTCCCTGGGGGAAAGAGCGGGGACAGTGTCCTTTCACTTGAGCTTTTGTAAGGGAAATTCATTGGAGAGCCTAAAATTCTGTACTGGTGAGAGGGGGAAACCTGGTCTATTTGGTCCTCTCTGTCAACTGACTCGAAGGAGTGCACAATATTCAGGATGAGAGGGGAGTCCCTTGGCCGGCCCCCGATCCGGGACGGCTCTGGCTGGGGAGACTCCTGCCTCTTGAGGAGCCGGGGGGTCCTGGGGGGCGGCTGCTGGACCTCCAGGTATTCCAGGGAGCTGGAGGTGACACAGCCTGTCTTGGCTGCCAGGGGCTCGTGGAAAGGGCTGACGCCGCCGCCGGAGTCTGCAAAGCAATGGGAGAAGGAAGCAGAAGAGCATTTTGCAGTTACCAGCGCTGCCTGGCCCACGGCACCTCACACACAGGAACTGACCAATGCACCAGCTACAGCTCTGGGACACACTCAGAGCCCAGTTCCCTCACCCTCACCTCATTCTAACGCCGTTGTTTCCCGGATGATTTATCTGCCCTTTCCCTCACAGGCAGGAAAAGTGCTTAAACTGAGACAGGCACTTGAAAAGGAAAACCACAGATGTCTTCAAGCTGTTTGTATTAATCACATCCTCTAATGCCACGCCTGAGAAATCTCACATTTCTCCTTTCTTAGCACAACTTTGTGTGGCTCTTGCTGGGCCTGTGCTCACCGACACACCTAGAGACACAGGGGAGCCCAGTGAGTTAATCCCTGATGGCTCTCCCTGCACTTTGGAACAGAATCTGTTCCTGGTTTCACACATGTAAATCTGGAGTAGCAGCACTGGCCAGATTCAGGCTGCTACAGTTGGAACAGATTTGCTGCATCAGCTTCAGCAAGAACCTTCTTCCAGCAAGGGCTGAAAATAAATAGAACAATCCTTGCAGGATTTGGCCGAGTCAAACAAAACAGCTCGTGGAGAAGATCTGCTCAGCTCCTACAGAACGCTGGCACTGCCTCATGCCAAGCTAATCACAGGCAAGCACGTTTTGCTGCCTTGATGGAAAGCTGTCCAAGGAACCTGACTGCCAGGTCCCCCTAATTGAATTAACTGGTAGCTATTCCATCAGTTCCCTCAGTCTCAAATCATCTAAAAAGGATCTGAAATTATTTAGCTCTGCCAGCACTCAGGTCACAGCCACAAATCTCACATGTATTTTTTGTGGAGGGATGGTCTTGTCAGGGCTTGAGACTTGAATGGATGAACAGGATGAAATCTCACACTTGTTTGGTAAAAGTCGAAGTTCAATCCGACCAGTTTCTTTCTAAAACTGGCCAAAATTATTTAAGATGTGTCAAAGCATAGTCTCCATAAGCAGAGAAATGCTTTAGCTAAGATCTGCATGATTTTCAGGTTTCAGAACAAAAAAGCAGGGAGAAACATAAAGCCAGAAGAGAAAGAACTACATTTTCTTCCCCCTCTGCCTTTCTTGCAAAGGGGACAGCAAATCTGAGCGAAACGGGCATTTTACAACTTTTTTTAACATTTTTTCACAGGAAGTATGTGCCATTCCTGAGCAGCTCTCTGGACTCCTGCCACCTTGCAGCAGAGGTTCCCCAGACAGACAGGACAATTTTTTTCACGTTGAGCACAACAAATGATAAATTATCAAGTCACGACAGCGAGCATGAAAGCATCACAAGCCACCACTCTGAATAAGCCCCTGACACCACGGTAAATGTTTCACATCACTGTATTTTCTGCAGTGACCTCTCCTCCCTCAGTTCCCTATTTAACAATGGGCTACATCACCTTCCTGCTCCTCAGTGCCTCCCACCCAGGTGTGCACTGCCCACACCCCTTTTTCCCTGCTGATTCCCCTTTTCCTCCACTCCATTCTCCACCTTCCTTTTGCTGGCTGGCTGGCACATCTCTTCCTCTCCTTGCTCCTGACTTCTCCCCTCCTTTCATCCGCGGGCAATCGCTGAGGTCGGCAGTCCCACCTGCCTTCCCTTGGGGCTGCCTCTTTCCCACTGCTCCACCACCAGCCCCTCCAAGGGACCCCTCGAGGTCAGGGGCTCTCCCGTGCCGCTCCTTTTCCTGCCAGGAAAGCACAGTGGCTGCTAGGAAGAAGCTTGGCTACCATCTCTGGCTCCTCAGCGATCCGCGGTGGGTGGTGATGCTTTCAAAACACCAGCGTGAGCGTGGATGGCTTTGTGCGAGGAGGTGCGAACAGGGAAAGGAACTGCCTTTTTAAAGCCCTGCAGGAATTCTGTCAAACACGGAGAGTGAGGACTCCTGAGTGCTGAGCACCACCATGGTTTCCTCAGGGCCTTTCACTCCACTGTGCGTTATCGAGGCCTCTTTCTCGCATGCCCAGAACGACAGGGAGCGCAAAACTGGAGTCTTTCCTCAGGAGCGCGCGCCACATGGGACAGGACGGGCTCAAAACCACCACAGACACAGACACAGACACACAGACACAGACACACAGACACACAGACACAGACAGCACTGCCCTGCCTCCCACTGACCTTTCTCCGGACCCCCGGGCTTGGCGACTTTCCGGTCCTTCAGCAGAGCCTTGGTGTTCTGGATCTGTGAGACAAGACAGGAAGAAGGCTGTCTATATGAAACTGGACTTTTCTCAGTTTTCTTTGGGAGCTGATGGTGAAGAATCTCCCCTTTCTTTTCTTGCTCTTTGAGTTTTTTGTCCTTTAGGTTGCAAAACAAACAAGAACGATTTGGTTTACTCAAGGGAAGTTTCAGTGGCCCCCAGACCTACAAGGTGGATTAAATACTATGTATTTTACAAGGAACTTATTCTGACTATTCAGAGTAACTAAATCCTCCACATCTCATTTTCCTCTGATCAGCTTGCTGTGATTTCATGGCTCCCATCTGCTCTGACATTCAGGCAGTGTGAAAGCTGGTTTTGGAAAATTAAAGGAAAAGGGAAAGTTCTTGGAGAAAGCAGATAAAAGTTTGTGCTCCTCCATACCTGAATTACTCTACTTAAGCACTGAAAAAGTCTGACTTCACTCCCTCTGAGATTTATGAAGGTGAGCTGCAAAGTTTTAAAGAAGTTTAAACCCTCTGAGTCGTTTATCTTCTGTCCAGACAAGATCTGGAGGAATACAGCCCTTGCTTTTACAGCATCTCTGCAACTGCACAGGACATGGAGGGGGAGAAAGTTATCCCTTCCCTGAGCCCTGACTCCTGGTTGTGATGGGGAAGGCAGCTGAAGGTGGGATTGCAAGAAGAAGGTAGGGTTGATCTCTAGTGATGACAGAGGAAAACCAGAACCTGGCAGCAGGACTCTGAAGAGGAAGGCCTTTTTCAAAGCACTGTTTAACAGAGAAAATTCATTGCATCTTCTTTCAGATTCAGCAAACTGCTTAGCACCCTTTACCTGTCACTGATTTCTAGGGGAGCCCAAAGTCTTCTTTCACATTTAAAAAAAAAACAAACAAGTTTTGGTTGGTTTGGGGTTGTTTTTGTGGTCATAGCTCTCATTTAAACAACATGTTTTGCTGCATCTGGTTAAAAGGTTGCTGTAAGTACAAGCTTCTTTAAAAAGTGAAGGAAAGTTCCTCCCCTCAGTTACGTGCCTGTGTTCTGTCTGGTAATTATGCACTGCCACTCCTGATTTTCTTTTGCAAGCTCACTGACGTGGAGCTTATGAAAACCCTCAAAGTGAAGCGCATAAGAACATGTGAGAGAGGAAAAGAAAGATGCAGAAGACAACTTGGATTCTCCTGGGCCACTAAACACCTTGGAAGCAAGACAGACACCGAAGAGGCAAAAATCTGGACTCAGATGGAGCCTGACTCCTTGCACAGACAATGTCTGGGCACTGCTGGACTCTGCAACCTTTCAGGAGTTACAGAGCTGGAAAGAACCTTCAGTGACTCACAAACAGACATTTTTAGTTTTAACACCGACATGGTTAGGTGGGTGACTTGGGAGAAGAAGAACCCAAGATCCTCTGTGAGCTCCTCACTGGCTTCACCTCAGCCTCTCTTCGTGCATGTGGGTTTTGTCCCTGTCCATCCCTTATCCCCCCCAACTCCTTTCCCTCTGGCTAACTGCAGCTGGCTGACCCTTCCACAGCCACAAAGGAGCCCCTCCTGGAGCTGTACACCTTTGGAGGTGGCTGTGCTTGGAGTAACACCACCGTGCTTGGAGTAACAGTGTGGATCAGGCACAGTCCCTCCTGGTGAGGGTGAAGCAGCAACAACAACAAAAACAACAGCAGCAATAATGCTGCCCATTAGTGCTGGGGGAACACCACCCTGCCACAGCAGGCAGGGGAAGGTGTGCAGCTAATTCTGAGCCCACCACACTGTTTTTCCTCCCACGGCTCTGAAACTCTGCTGTCGAGAGAGCCTTCAGCAGAGACAAGGCTCTCCCGAGGATCTTTTTATAAAGGCACTTGTGAGGATGAGACCAAGTGGTGACTATATTAAGCTCACAGGAGCCAATCCAGATTGTTAGGAGCTATCTGCTGCTTTGGCTAGGTGAGGAGGGATCTGCGTGCTGGTTGCTGCAGCCTCTGTCGGGGCGCAGGACGTGCCAGGGCTGCGGTATTTTTAGCCTGATGGTGCACGAGCCAAGCTGCAGCTCCTCACCTGCCAAGAGCTCCTGCCTTTGCCCTCACCCTGCTGGTACATTCCCTCAGCCACAGCAACACAGCCACTCCACACAATTAAAGCACCCCTGGCAAAGGAAATTCACGTATCCGGCGCTGGCAATTAATTACTTCACGCTGGATGAACACTGCCAACAGTCTCAGAAGTATTTCTAAAACTGCTAACGCTGCTCCTTAATGATCATGGCTGTCAGAGGCTCAGGACCAAAGTCCTGAACTCCCAAGGTGCCACAGACTTATATTTGAAAAGGGAAGGAAGATTTCATTTGGGGGAGTTATAAAAGTTCCCTCTGCACTGCAGTGTCTCGCTGTCCCGTAATGCCGGAGCTGTACCGGTATATTATACTTGAATAGGTTGGGAATTACCTCATCCTCTGCTATTTCCTGTCCTGACCTTGACCCTCAAACCTACTCTTAGTCCCAGCAATGGGTTTGAAAGGCAGATAAAGGGTGTTTGCCTTGGCCATGTTTGACACGGTGATAGGATAAGGACACCAAGGGTTTAAAAATTGCAAATTGTATGTCTGAGCCCACTCGCTCCCCTGGATTTGCTGGAGGGACAGCCATTCATCCTGAGACCCCTTCCCCAAATAAAGAGATGGAGAGAGCCATACAGACTCCTCCCTCTCCCTGCACCACAGGGACACCAGCCTGGAAACAGCCTGGGTACCTCACACCCACAGCAGCCTGGGCCCCTCTCCATGCTACAGCAGAACTGCTGGAGAAGAGGGGCAGGACATGACCTCTGCCCACCTGCCTGCCCCAGCTGCTGGCAGCCCCTCCTGAAGCCAAATCCTTATTTCCCATGGCTGGAGAGAGGTAGGAGAAATCCCACGTGTGCTGAAGCTAGAACTGACCATCCCTCTCCCTCCTATTCCCATGGCAACCTGCAGCTCGGCTCCCTAGGGACCAGTGGCTCCCAATTCCTGCTCTGGAAATGGTGGGGAGGGGTAAAGGGATTCCATCTCCAGCTCATGAACCTTCCTGAGCTTGCCAAACCCCTTCCCCCGAGTCTCCATTTTCCTCCACTTCCAGGGGGGAAATAATTGGCACAGTATTTGGCACAATATTGCCAGAGTAATTGGCACATTATTAAATCCCAGGGCTGGACACTGCCAGGGCTGTGTTCCACCCACAGGGAGGCATTTTAGGAGCGATATCTGCCTGAGTTACAAAGGGCAGCAGTGTCCCAGGGTGTGCATTCACCCCTGCGTGCTGCTTCACCTGTTCTGCCACAGTAAAAGTAGCATAATTCCCCTGTGTAAGAACAGCTAAAGTGACAGAAAACATTGTGGAACCAGAGAATGGGTTAGAAGGGATCTCAGCCCATCCTCACCCCCTGCCATGGGCAGGGACACCCTCCCCACGCCCAGCCTGTCCTGCACTTCCCTGCTCTGTGCCCATGCAGCAGGGGAACAGGCTGCTGTCATTATTGCTATTATTGCAGTGTCTGCACAGTGAGTGCATCCTGGTAAGTATTTCAGGAAAGACATGACACCCCCTCATCCTCTAAATAGCTACCCTGGGACTAACTCTGAGTGCAGGAGAGGCTTTGGAAAGAGCTTCTATCCCCGAGCAAGCCTACAAACCAAACTGGGGCCACACAGCAGCACAGGCACTGCTGTTACTTTCCAGTTTTCCTCAGGGAAATAAACTTTGCAGGCAGGCCTTGCTCAGCCTCCCCTGCACGGGAGCAGGAGCTGTGAGCTGACCCCTGGAGAATCCCAGAGCACAGTGGCTCTGTCACTGCTGGGGGAAGTGACACCAGCAGCTGGTCCAGAGAGAACCAAGATGCTCCACGCAGGATCTGAAGCGTTCAACTCCCAGTACCTGCCCCTGCTTCCCTGCAACAGCTTGAGCGAGTTGTGAGAGCTTTGTGAAATATCATATTCATTGAGCCTACCCACTGCTGATCCATTCCAAGTAAGATGGTTTTGATTTATTCAAGAAATAAGTACTTTGCCCTGATATTTCCATCTGGCTTGCAGTTCAGCTTGTCTTGCAAGCAGCCTTTGTAATAAACAAAACCAGCCACGACACAAATCTGCCCCTGCAATTAGATCATCAATCCAGTGCTGAGGAGCAGCTTTTGAGACAGGCAGACTCCTCAAGAATGCTGCTCTTTGTGTTGGCAGGGAAGACTTGCACAGCTCATATTACTCCTGTAATTTTAGTGCTTGGCAAAGAATCAGCCAGGGAAGAAAAATCCAGCCATGATTTAATACCAAATACCTTCTCTGCTTGCAGGCAAGAAGACTGGAGACCTACAGAGCAGAAGGTTAAACCTTTTGCCTGCCCAAGGGAATTCCTTCATGATGCAGCGGGCTGGTCCCACATCACTTCTGCTAAGGAGCAGAGAAAATTGACTTTGAAGAGTGTTGTGCTAATACAGCCTCACTGCTCCTGGCAGCCAAGCCAGGGTTGGCCCAGGACACCAGGAGAGTCACCCTGGCTGTCACTCAGCTCTCTGCCCTACAGCACCAAGCTCTCCAGGCTCAGAGCCTCAAGAACACCGAGTTTTCATCTTTTTATAACACCAGCAACTTGCACCCCAGAATGAAGCTATGGAGCCTCCTGTGTTTGCATTATTTTGCTAAACAGAGATTTAAAAACATTTAATTTCTTTAAAAATCCTGAAAGTCACCTTTCTATTTCTTCTCTAGAGGGTTACTATTTGTTTCTTTGAAAAGAAATAAAGGGAGTTATTTGTCCTGCACAGGCAAGACCACAGGTCTTTCTTTTTTCCCCAGGTCCACAAACCCATCACTTTAATAACAATCACCAAGGATGCTCAAATTCAATCTGCTTTCAAAGCACTTCAACAAGCTGTGGTGAGCTTTACCTCATAGGAGTCTTTATTTGCCTTGTATTTTTCTATCTGGTACAGCTGGTTCTTGTGGCAAATACTGTCCTGGCCTTCAGCCTTCTGTGGAGAGAAAAGCACAGAAAAGTAAAATACATAAAATAATTGGAGAAAACTGATGTTTAATTACCACCTAGAGGACTGCACCCACTCTTGGAGTTCAGCAGAGGAGCATCAGCTTACAGAGATGATGGATTTGGTCCATTACATTTTAAATATCACTGGTGGCACCGTCCCTAATGTGAAAAGGACCAAGGAAAGAAAAATCTAAGGTGCTATTGTCAAACTGGAAAGTCTGAGCCGTGCTCAGGGGCCAGGGAGATTACATCTTTTTAAAATTAAAAGATTAAAACTTTCAGCTGAGTTTTCACTTGAAAGTTGAATAAGTTTAAGAGCTCTTAAGCTTCTTCTTGATGTCCTGACTCAATAAATTGTGCTCATTCCAAGGAACAGAACTATCTCAACACAGGGACCTCACGATGGATGATGCTTGGGATACTCTGCAGTTCTGAGGGATCAAATGGCAGCAAGCCAGGCCACTTCCAGCCTTTTTGTGCCCTGCTCCCCCAGCAGTGGCAGGAGGCAGTGCTCACCCTGAGGCTGGCCAGGTAGCGCTCCAGCTTCTTGTTGAGCAGGAAGTAGATGGCCAGCGTGTGGCTGGCCCTGTTGGAGAGCACAGTGTTGATGACATCGCTGTTCTTGTAGCCCAGCTTCTCAGTCATGTGCAGCAGCACGCTCTGGCTGAGGTCCTCCAGGTGAATCCTGCACAGGGAGAGGCACAGAAGGATTTTTGGGCCGTCCTGTCAGTGACAGAGCCCCCGGGGGATGAGGCAGAACACCAAGAGGAGGCCCTGAGGGCTCAGTATCTTGGGGGTAATTAGTTCCCTTCTCCCATGAGCAGGTAGGGGAAGAACAGATGTCAGGGAACACAGGAACTGCAGGAAGCTGGATGAACAGGACTCTGTCCACTGTGTCCACCCTGATGGGAAATGGCACCGTGATGCTCAGGCCATTTGTTACCCTACACCTGACCACTGAAGATCATTAAGATGAGCTGGTTTTGAAGGAAAGGAGGTAAAATCCAAGCCAGATCTGGCTCTCTGAGAAGCCTCTTTTCTCGTAATCAAGCAGCACTGCTCTGAGCTTCACCCCCTTACCTGCTGCACCCATGCACTAATCAGCCAGGGAATTTCCTGCTGGAGGAAAGGGGATGTTCAGGGTTACTCCTGCAGCTCAGAATGGCAACACTGCTGTTACCCCTCCTGTCACAAGTCCAAGCCATGTTCATGTCTCTCTCTTCTATAAAGTCTGGAACAGTCTCAGCCAAGGCGAGAAAAGCAGTACAGGGGTCTTTTGGAAATGCCAAAGCATTGGCTCAGCCTGAGTTAAAACCAGATTTTTCCAAAGAACTCTACTCCTATTTAGACCTCTAAACGGGCTGGCCAGCTTCCCAGAGGTACCCGTCAGCTCCCATCCATCTCCAGAGAAATGCTGGGTTCCAGTTGTTTCTAGAGGATATTCCTCACTCCTAATACCAAGCCCAGGATCAGAGGGAACTTATTTTGCAAGATTCCCCCTTCCAAGGGATGCCTCCCCACCTTTCCCACTCCTGGCTCCCGGCTCTGATGGACAGGACTCAGAGATGATGTCAAACACAGTCTGGGAAATCTCAAAGAACTCATTCCTTTTGTTCCCTGTGCTCATGAACACTCGTTCTGCCCCTAAAAAATGCTTGGGGTTGTTTTTTTTTCCACAAGTTCAAAAGCAAAACTTATCTTGGCCACCGCACGTTGAGACATCTGGGCAGCAAAAGAAATTCAAACAATTTCCACTTGAAGTGCTCAGCAAAATGGGAAATTTTTGCTTGCCTTCAGGGAATTTCTTTAACAAAAGCAAGCCTATAAAAAGCCTGGGAAAACATTCTCCTGAAAGTGCAGCTTCTGCTGTTCTCCCACCTTATCTCCATGCTCTTCCCTTCCTACCACGCTCCTGTCTTGGGAACAATGGGTGTTACCCCCAGAGCAGTGGAAGGGCACTGCAAGAACACGACACAACTCCTTCTGGGTCAATTAAGAGAGGAATTGATTCTCTGCAAAAATCAGCAGTGTGTTTTTCAGGCACAATTTCACCACACCTTACCCATATCTGTACACTAAGGAAAAACTGGAGACGTTCCATGGAAGCTGGCTCTAGTGCCACTTTCTGAGACAAGCTCAAAAGGAACCAGGCCACATCTTTAAATATTTAAAACTTTGCAGATTATTCTCCCTAAAAAGCTCCAGTATGACAAAGACTATGGGGGTCAAGCCTGGGACATCAACTAATGAAACAAAAGTAATATTATTTCTGAAAAATGAAAGAAAGGATATCTTTGAAGGCTTTTATCCCTTACAGCTTCACACGTCCCCTGCATTTGGAGGAGTGATATCGAGAGAATGGCTCTGCCTCTTCTCATCCCTTGGGAAACAATTCATCACAGGAACCACCTTTATATCCTGGGGATTACGGGCAGCTGGCCCCACATCTGCCCTCCTCATTTCAGGAGACGGATTCAGTGATATCCCCAGGCATCTGTGCTGCTTGACATCCATCCATCCATCATCCATCCATCATCCATTTATCTACCCATCCATCCATCCATCCATCCATCCATCATCCATCCATCATCCATCTCTCATCCATCCATCCATCATCCATCCATCATCCATCCATCCATCATCCATCCATCATCCATCCATCATCCATCCATCCATCATCCATCCATCCATCATCCATCCATCATCCATCCATCCATCATCCATCCATCCATCCATCATCCATCCATCATCCATCCATCCATCCATCATCCATCCATCTCTCATCCATCCATCCATCATCCATCCATCATCCATCCATCCATCCATCCACCCATCCATCCATCCACCCATCATCCATCCATCATCCATTCATCCATCCATCCATCTCTCATCCATCCATCCATCCATCCATCATCCATCCATCATCCATCATCCATCCATCCATCATCCATCCATCCATCCGTCCATCCATCATCCATCCATCCATCCGTCCATCCATCATCCATCCATCCATCATCCATCCATCCATCCATCATCCATCCATCCATCATCCATCCATCCCTCATCCATCCATCATCCATCCATCCATCCATCATCCATCATCCATCATCCATCCATCCATCCATCATCCNGCCTCATGCCAAGCTAATCACAGGCAAGCACGTTTTGCTGCCTTGATGGAAAGCTGTCCAAGGAACCTGACTGCCAGGTCCCCCTAATTGAATTAACTGGTAGCTATTCCATCAGTTCCCTCAGTCTCAAATCATCTAAAAAGGATCTGAAATTATTTAGCTCTGCCAGCACTCAGGTCACAGCCACAAATCTCACATGTATTTTTTGTGGAGGGATGGTCTTGTCAGGGCTTGAGACTTGAATGGATGAACAGGATGAAATCTCACACTTGTTTGGTAAAAGTCGAAGTTCAATCCGACCAGTTTCTTTCTAAAACTGGCCAAAATTATTTAAGATGTGTCAAAGCATAGTCTCCATAAGCAGAGAAATGCTTTAGCTAAGATCTGCATGATTTTCAGGTTTCAGAACAAAAAAGCAGGGAGAAACATAAAGCCAGAAGAGAAAGAACTACATTTTCTTCCCCCTCTGCCTTCCTTGCAAAGGGGACAGCAAATCTGAGCGAAACGGGCATTTTACAACTTTTTTTAACATTTTTTCACAGGAAGTATGTGCCATTCCTGAGCAGCTCTCTGGACTCCTGCCACCTTGCAGCAGAGGTTCCCCAGACAGACAGGACAATTTTTTTCACGTTGAGCACAACAAATGATAAATTATCAAGTCACGACAGCGAGCATGAAAGCATCACAAGCCACCACTCTGAATAAGCCCCTGACACCACGGTAAATGTTTCACATCACTGTATTTTCTGCAGTGACCTCTCCTCCCTCAGTTCCCTATTTAACAATGGGCTACATCACCTTCCTGCTCCTCAGTGCCTCCCACCCAGGTGTGCACTGCCCACACCCCTTTTTCCCTGCTGATTCCCCTTTTCCTCCACTCCATTCTCCACCTTCCTTTTGCTGGCTGGCTGGCACATCTCTTCCTCTCCTTGCTCCTGACTTCTCCCCTCCTTTCATCCGCGGGCAATCGCTGAGGTCGGCAGTCCCACCTGCCTTCCCTTGGGGCTGCCTCTTTCCCACTGCTCCACCACCAGCCCCTCCAAGGGACCCCTCGAGGTCAGGGGCTCTCCCGTGCCGCTCCTTTTCCTGCCAGGAAAGCACAGTGGCTGCTAGGAAGAAGCTTGGCTACCATCTCTGGCTCCTCAGCGATCCGCGGTGGGTGGTGATGCTTTCAAAACACCAGCGTGAGCGTGGATGGCTTTGTGCGAGGAGGTGCGAACAGGGAAAGGAACTGCCTTTTTAAAGCCCTGCAGGAATTCTGTCAAACACGGAGAGTGAGGACTCCTGAGTGCTGAGCACCACCATGGTTTCCTCAGGGCCTTTCACCCCGCTGTGCGTTATCGAGGCCTCTTTCCCGCATGCCCAGAATGACAGGGAGCACAAAGCCGGAGTCTTTCCTCAGGAGCGCACGCCACACGGGACAGGACGGGCTCAAAACCACCACAGACACAGACACAGACACACAGACACAGACACACAGACACAGACAGCACTGCCCTGCCTCCCACTGACCTTTCTCCGGACCCCCGGGCTTGGCGACTTTCCGGTCCTTCAGCAGAGCCTTGGTGTTCTGGATCTGTGAGACAAGACAGGAAGAAGGCTGTCTATATGAAACTGGACTTTTCTCAGTTTTCTTTGGGAGCTGATGGTGAAGAATCTCCCCTTTCTTTTCTTGCTCTTTGAGTTTTTTGTCCTTTAGGTTGCAAAACAAACAAGAACGATTTGGTTTACTCAAGGGAAGTTTCAGTGGCCCCCAGACCTACAAGGTGGATTAAATACTATGTATTTTACAAGGAACTTATTCTGACTATTCAGAGTAACTAAATCCTCCACATCTCATTTTCCTCTGATCAGCTTGCTGTGATTTCATGGCTCCCATCTGCTCTGACATTCAGGCAGTGTGAAAGCTGGTTTTGGAAAATTAAAGGAAAAGGGAAAGTTCTTGGAGAAAGCAGATAAAAGTTTGTGCTCCTCCATACCTGAATTACTCTACTTAAGCACTGAAAAAGTCTGACTTCACTCCCTCTGAGATTTATGAAGGTGAGCTGCAAAGTTTTAAAGAAGTTTAAACCCTCTGAGTCGTTTATCTTCTGTCCAGACAAGATCTGGAGGAATACAGCCCTTGCTTTTACAGCATCTCTGCAACTGCACAGGACATGGA